CAGATCTAAAATCCAAAGGGCGTTTGGCCATCGCTCCTTACTTGGGGGGAAAATTGTTTGGGGAAGCCCTGGAATCATACTTGATAGAAAACAAGGATAAGAAAAAGGTACTTGCTCACCAGGCCAGGCGATCGGACAGGAAGTTTGCTCCTTTTTATCGCCGTCAGGGATTCCGGGGCAATACCCAGGGTTCTAACTGGTCACAACCCAAATGTTCATTTCCTCCAAGATCGGATCATCAAACGGAATGTTTTGGACCCAAGCCCAGGCAACAACAGCAGTCTAAGCGGCCCTTTCGAGGCGCAGGGGGCTGTCCCTATCGGAGGAATAAGTGACTCCAGGGAGAGACCCCCAATAGGCGGTTGGTTCTCCCTGTTCTCTCAGAACTGGGGGAACATTACCACTGACGCCTGGGTTTTGTCCACAGTTACCAACAGCCTGACCTTGGAGTTTTTCTCAAAACTGGCAAACCGATTCATTTCTTGTCCAACACCTTCAAACCCGTCAAAACGGGCTCTCATGAAGGAGGCCATTTCCCATCTTATCAAAATAAAAGCGGTAGAACCGGTCCCTCCCGATCAGAGGGGGCAAGGTTTTTATTCAATCCTCTTTATAGTTCCAAAGACTTCAGGACGATGGAGGGCCATTCTGGACCTAAAAAGGTTAAATTCTTACCTGGTATACAAAAAATTCAAAATGCAGACCCTGCAATCCATCTTGGCCAGCATAAGAAGGAACGACCTCCTGACGTCCATCGACCTTACGGAGGCGTACCTACATATCCCAATATTCCCATCACATCGCAGCTTTCTCAGATTCTGCTACAGATCTTATCACTATCAATACAGAGCGCTTCCATTTGGCCTTTCATCCACCCCGAGGGTATTCACGAAGATCTTGTTGGTTCTGGCAGCTCACCTCAGACTGGAGTCCATTCGGATCCAGTGTTACCTGGACGACATCCTCATCCAGTCAGTGTCGGTTCAGGCTGCGCGGTCAGAGGTAGCCCGTACAATAGAGGTGCTCCAGAACCATGGATTCTTGGTGAATTTTCTCAAAAGCCAACTGATTCCATCCACGCGGCTACTTCATCTGGGAGCAGTGATAGATACAACACGCTGAATGGTCTTCCTGTCGCCAGATTGCATAGCCAGTCTCAGGGCCCTTGTTTGCCAGGTGCAATGCACCAGGACAGTTCCGCTTCTCACTCTCTCCCAACGCTTAGGCAAGATGATCTCTTGCATCGCCATCGTACCTTGGACCAGACTACATTCAAGAGCCCTTCAGTGGTTCCTCCCCCCCTTTCAGAGGCAAAAATTAACATCCTCCAACAAGCAGGTGAGGTTGACCCCTCTGGTATCGAGTTCACTCCGATGGTGGAGTTCTTGAGCCATCAACAAGGGCTCAAAGTTCAGGGAGCCATCACAGATCGTGCTCACCACGGACGCCAATCTCTTCGGCTGGGGGGCTCACCTCCAGTCTCAGATAGCCCAGGGGAGATGGTCCAAGGAGGATTTGAAACACAATATAAATTGGCTGGAACTCAGGGCAATTCACCTGGCGTTGTGTCACTTCAGTCACAAGGTGAGAGGCCAGCATGTTCTTGTTCTCACAGACAACATAGCGGCCAAAGCCCATGTGAACCAACAAGGGGGCACCAGGTCGAGTTCTCTGATGATGGAAGCCAGACTGCTCTGCTCTTGGGCAGAGGCCAATCTGTCCTCGATAAAGGCAGATTACATCTTGGGGGCAATCAACCAGCAGGTGGACGCTCTCAGCAGGGCGACTGGATCCAGCACTGTTCCTAGCAATATCTCACAGAGTAGGCCACCCAGTTCTAGACTTATTCGCCTCGGCAGCAAACTCCCAACTTCCAAGGTTTTCTCCCGTTTTCCGTCCCTGGGGTCAGAGGGGGTAGATGCCCTGCGCATTCCGGGGCCCTGGGAACTTCTTTACGCCTTTCCTCCGCTCCCTCTACTTACGGCCGTCATCTGCAAGATTCTGCGAGAGAAGGCAGAGATTGTCCTCATAGCCCCTCATTGGCCGAGGCACCCGTGGTTCGCCAATCTCATGAGTCTGTTAGTATTGGTTCTGTGGAAGATACCCCCGGACCGAATAGCATTCAGTCAAGGGGCACTTCGACATCCCGACCCTCGATGGCTACAATTAACCGTATGGCGATTGAGCGGAGACATCTGATTGAGAAAGCTTATCCTCCAAGGGTCATTGATATGATCCAAGTGTCTAGACGCCCGTCAACTAATAGAGTTTATGACTCTACTTGGAAGAATTTTATATCTTGGATGTCCAAGCATCATGTCCAGTTGTCATCTCTCACGGTGCCTCAGGTGCTACAGTTTTTACTGGACGGGATGGATAAGGGTTTGTCTCCTAGTACTATCAGGAGACAGATTGCGGCTTTGGCCACGGTTCTTTCTTGTGACGACTCTTCCTCACTTGCACACCATCTGGTAATCCGTTCTTTCATAAAGGGGGCAATTAATAGTAGACCTCCAACGGTTCATCAGTACCCCTCTTGGGATCTTTCGAGAGTTTTGCAGGCCCTTACCGGGTCGCCTTTTGAACCACTTCGTTCCTGTGATCTCAATCTCTTATCTATGAAGGTGGCCTTTTTAGTGGCAGTGACCTCGGCCAGGCACATATCTGAATTGGCCGCCCTCTCGGTCAGGGAGGATCTCTGCCTGTTTCGCCCCGATTGCGTGATCCTATGTTTGGATCCCACCTTCATTCCTAAGGTGAACTCTTTGTTTCACCGGTCACAGGAGGTGGTGTTGCCGAGTTTCTGCCCTAGTCCATCTTGTGACTTGGAACGCACATGGCACACCTTGGATGTTCGCAGGGCGCTACACATTTACATTAAAAGGACTGCTTCTTTTCGTAGGTCAGAGGAACTTTTCCTCTCTTTCAATCCTGCCTCTATGGGGCTCAAGGTTTCTTTTTCCACTATTGCCAGGTGGATTAAGGCTTGTATTGCCAGGGCATACCAATTGCAGTCTTTAGCCATTCCTTCACGTATCACAGCTCACTCTACTCGTAGTGCTGCCACCTCTGCGGCCTGGACCACGCAGGCGCCCATTGACGACATCTGTAGGGCAGTGATCTGGTCATCGCCTTCCCCATTTATCCGTCACTATAAAATTGATAGCTTTGCCTCTGCTGGCGCTGCCTTTGGCCGTAGAGTATTACAGAGGGTAGTGTCATCTCCTGCATCACATGCCCCATCTGTTACCCCCCCCCCAGGGACAGGCAGGCTTTGGTATGTCCCAATCCGTGGATTATCCATCCTCATGCTGGAGAAGGAGCGTTGTCTTACCTGAACGCCTTTTCTCAGCATGAGGATGGATAATCCACTCCCTCCCTTTACTGATTATTGGGCACTGTGGCAGGAGTCTGGAAACCAACGTTTATGGGTTTGTCTGTTGCTTCGCCTTCGTCGGAACTGGGTAAATGTGACCCAGCAAGAGGCGTGGCTATCTCTTAGTCTTAGTCTAATTGAGTAGAAGAGACTTCAGGAAACCCAATCCGTGGATTATCCATCATCATGCTGAGAAAAGGTGTTCAGGTAAGACAACGCCCCTTCTATACCTTTGACACTGAAAATTGTTTCCTTTGTATTTTGAAATTTGTTGGTCTAACAGCTTATGACATTTTAGAATAATCCAGCTAAAACAGTAACCCACACATCTTCATGCTATATAACTTTTAACAATTGGCATTCATTTACCAGGCATGTTATAAAGAAATTGGTCTTACAGTATTTTAAACAGATTTATTGCTTTGTTCCTGAGATACATTTGTATGCATCTGTCTAGTGTAATAATTTCTTATATGTTTGCTGTATTGATTTTTCTTGTATGATAACTACTTTTAAAACTGATAGAACCAGTGGTGAGATTCAGCTGGTTCGCACCACTTCGGCAGAACCGGTAGCTAGTGTAATTTTTTGTTGCCCAGGCCCAGAATGGACTTCCGGAAGCAGCATCCACACAGAGAACCTGTTGTTCACATATCTGAATCCACCGGATAGAACTATTAAGGGTTATGTTTATTCATTTTGCTTATTCTGTACTTCTTAACTCCCTGCATGTATTGTATATATAATAATGTCTGTACTTATTTTATAAATACTGCAGACTATCAAGCAAAGTAGGCTATTATCATTTATTATTAATCATTTTTTTAATTTGTCAAAACTAATGTCAGATTATATAAGGTGATTATACAGAATTAAGTTCTGCTTGAGTGAACTTTATAGATCCCATCTTAATCCTACATTCCAATATGAAGTATTTATTTTGTCTTACTTTTAAACAGCAACTTAAGTATAAAATGCATGCTGGTAATTAAGTAGTAGATGTTTAGGAATAAAAAAATGTATTTAGAAATGCATAATTTTGACATTTTTTATTATTTATATGTATTTAATTCTTAAAGTGGCTGCTTACGCCATTGCATCACTTTTCGACAAAATAAATTGCTAAGTTGAGACTGTCTTCCAAACAGGAAATATTGTGGACCTAGAAAAGCTAAAACTGCCCTCCTCCCTCCACAATTTCTCTTGATCCAGTCAAGTTCATTTCACTTAGTTTAAGTAAAAAACTGAAAAGCTGATTACGTCTTTAAAGTAATGTGTAGTTTGGCCTTAAGTTCTCCTATAATCCAGTTATATCCCAGCTCAAGTTCCCAGGGCTGGGAGGTAGGAAAAGAACGAGGCCTGTAGTTGTGCCTCCAGAAAGTTTTATGTACAGAAACAAGATTTTCTTAGCATAGAAATAAAGGTGCACTAGCAGATTTCTGACAATTATTGGATAAGGAAGCAGGCCTTCCTTATTTTGCAGAAAAGTTAGTCTAAAATTAATTCATGGTTGATTGTAAACCTCTTTTAAAGTATAACTGAATTTTTAAAAATATGTGAGGATCCCACTGGTAGGATATTACTTTAACAATTTCATAAAGATGATCTATGTGTCTTTCCACAGTTTCTAGCACAAAGAATAATACCAAAGCACAGACCTCTCCTTCCAAAGGAACTCGGAGCTCAATGCAGTCTCCACCAAAATCAGCTTCACCTGTTCCAACTGCCAAAGGCAGGAAACTCGGTCGGGCAAAACCACTGGCTCCATCCGCTGTCCTTAGGAAAGTCCAGCCTCCTAAAAATATTCCGGTGGTTAAAAACATTTCTCACAAAGAAAACCTCAAAAAAAGGAAAAGGGACTTAAAACCAGAAAGAAAAGTTAGTATACATTTATCATAGATGTGATAGTCTGTTTTGTTGATTAATAACTTGCATACTCCTGCCCCATGTGTGAAAGTTTCTTTACTGAATCCACTTTTCCTAGATTTGTTTATTATTTTTGAAAACTGTTTTCAAAGTGTTCTATTGCTGTCCAAATGCAAATTATGATTTGTAAATTTTACAGATTTTGTTACGTATTTTAATGTGTTAAAACATATTTACTTGGTCTTAAATTGCCAGAGTTTAAAATCTGTTTTCCTAAGCTACTATTTTTTCTTAATCTAAAAGTGACTGCCAAAAAGAAGTCTTCACATTTTCTTTGTCTTGTTTCTTTAATGCAGACAAGTTAAACTTGATAAATTTTACACTACATTTCCCTTCCTCCCCATGTATATGACTACACACACACACACACTCACTCACTCGTTCACTCACTCTCACACACAATCTTTTAACTTATTGGAACTTCCTTCCAGTGGGAGGTATTTAAAGAAAATTTGAATAGAATAGTGGTCCCATAGATCAGCATGTTTCTGTAAATGGTCAAAAGGACATTTACTATATTTATACACTCTGGTTTTAAAAACTTGCTGAGGCAGATATTTATAACAGTTGACTAAACCTGCCAAAGATGTTTATTTCAATATAGGAGTGGTTATCGTTTTATGTGATGGCCTGGCTTCTGAAAGCTCTTATCTGGTTGCTAGTTCTAGCTGAGATTATGTTTCTGCCTCTTCTGGAGAACCTCAAATCAGGAATAAACTGTAAATCTAAAGCAACATATTTTATGCTTGGTTGACAGCATTCAATAATTCACTATATCAGAATTTTATATCAACTGATATTGATCTAAATATGGTTTGACTATTTGCAAAAAATATTTTTAATGTAGTAAAATATATTATTTTTCAACAGAAAAAAAACATAGCAATGCAACCTCCCTCTTTTTCTCCTATTTCTGCAAAAATCGACAATGGCAATCCTCCGATATACAAAGAGACACCTGATATCACTGGTACATCAGCAGCTGTTATTTCAACAGGTACATTTATCTATTTTTAAAAAAATTTAGTGGGGACAAATTCTGATGATTCTTGATTTACTCTAAGGTAGTAAGATGTTTTAGAGGTGCAAAAACAATTCTGAAAGTAGCTATAAGGCTTTGCACTAGATACGCTTTGCCATTTTACATCAATTTTAAAAATATAGAATATGTGTTATCAAGTTTTTAAGCAATACTTTATGCAAGCGACAGTGTATATTAAACATTGTATATAGGGTTAAATGGAATTCAGGTTGTGCATCTTCGGAAATCTGCTAGTTTCTTCTGTGGCATTATTCCCCCCCCCCCTGAACTTTCTTTATTCTACCTGTGAATTTTCTGTCTGTCTGATATCCTGATAATATTTTATTTTTTCACAACTATTTTCTTGTTTTTCTAAATTTCTGTGCAACTACTAAACGACTTTTCCACTTTTTTCTTTTACTCTCTTACATGTTTAGATGTTCATTCCAACTTCTATAATCTTGCTTTCAAATTTTTCTTTTCTTTTTTATCCCCATTGTGTTTCCTGGCTATGTGTACCTTTATTATCCTTTGCTAAACATTTTAATCTATTTTAATCTTCCCAGAGCAGAAAAAATAATTTCTTTCCTACTGCTAATCGTTGTTTGGCATCTTTGGTTCTGTTTTAGTCCAGCTGTTTAGTTGTTTTGCTTTAAATTGTAAACAATTTCTTTCAAGATTCTATGCTGTGAATTAATTCAATGTGATTTTGACAAAATATTTGCAAATTCCCTGTAAGGTTTTGGAAGCAAAATCTTGGAGTGCTACAGGGAGGGATGAGGGGACCAGATGTTTGATAAAGGAAAACAAAATGAAGACTGTTTACATTGAAAGGGTTCTATTTTCTCTTTAATTCTGGAAAATGTAGCAAAAAACAGGACTGAAGTACAATTAATATGAACATGTACCATACTTATTGTGGACATTGTAATTCATTTGAATGTACTCTAAGTGAAATTTTGGGATTCCAGTTCCTTTTGGTGTTATAAGGCAAAGCAAGAATTACTTGGGTAAGAAAGATGGTAGACAAAGATGAGTTTTATTTGTTCATTTGTCAGAACCTAAATTTTATGCCACTGGGATGCCTTTAAGGTAGATAAAGATGTATTCTACATTGTGTTTTGTTCTATTCTGTTTTTTAGTTTGTGTCTATGTTAACAAGCATGGAAATTCCGGGCCTCATCTTGATAAAAAGAAAATTCAGCAACTTCTTGATCACTTTGGACCAGGTCCTGTGAATATAGTACTTCAGCAGGCTGTCCAAGCTTGTGTAGATTGTGCCTATCAATCAAAAATTGTCTTTGGATTCCTCAAGGCTGGGCATCATGCAGGAGAGATTATTACTGGTAAATTATTTTATCTAATTTATATTTAGACTTCAACTTTGGGCATAGATTGCATTTGTGAATAACAAATCAGCAACTCTGCTTTATCTTCTGTTAAGAATGTCTATGGAGATTCTCACTCATCCAGGTCATGGTTGTCCCAAAGGTGCTTTTTTTAAGCCAACTTTCTTTATTTTTCTTTGAAGTTGTTTCGTTTCTCATCCAGAAACTTCTTGGATGAGAACTGAAGAAGCTTTTTAAATGAGAACTGAAACATCTTCAAGGAAAAACAGAGAAAGTCTAGTTGTCTTTTGAAAAAGCACCTTTGGGATTCTGCCTAAGAATGAATATTTTCATTTCAATGATCCCTTTAGGTTTGTGAGTCTTGATTATTTAGCTAATTGTGCCCAATTTAATATTATATGAAGTTTTTTATTTCCAATTGGCTTTACCCTTTTGTACAAAGAGGTGAAAACAAATGAGTTTTTTTCTCACTAGCATAATGTTGACATTCAGAATAATCCAGACTTCTGGCCTATTAATTGTACGTGCGATACAATTAGTGATTCTTGTAAACTAACCACAATAAATCAGTATTAAAAAAAAAACAGTAGGAGATAGCAGAATCAATATTTTGAAAGCCAATAAAAACTCTGTATGCTTGGTAATGACAAAACCTCTAACTTCCTTTATTATTAAATGAGTTATATTTAAATTGACCTACATTTGTCATATCTTCCAAAATAGTAAACAGAAAAAATATTTAAAAGCAAAAGCACCTCCATTCCTTTTGCTTTATAGGAAAATATTTGATTTAAAACTGTGACTGTGTTTTGTTTCCTACAGTAAGCTTATGTCTTAGCTGAATGCTGTTTTAGAAAAGTCAGAATTCTACATAGCTCTGCCCTAACAACTATGGTGTCAATATTTCTCTAGTTCTAAATTAGAATTGCTCCTTGCCATTTTGTTTCTAGCAAAAGCAGTCTTCAGGATACACATTTGGATGCCTGTTTATAATTCTGGGATTAAAAAAAAAGGTTGCCTTACTTTATTACATTATACTGAGGCCAGATGAGATAGTTTTCTGTGGTTAATTAAGCTGTCACACCCTATATCTAGCACTATTAAATTGAATCTTCATATAGATCTTCGACATATGCTTTTACACATAAAGATAGGCTTTTTATATCATAGCAAAATTTAAGAGCTATGAATAATGCTTGCTTGTAGGATAAGGTTATGGAATATTTATTTGGCTGTGCACTGCTTTGGTTCAAAGATTAAAAGGAGCTTTGGAGCATAATGCAGGCACAAACATACCAGCTGCCTACAACTTATATAAAACATGTTTTCCCTTCCAGGACTGATGACAGCTATAGGCAGCAGCCTTAGAAAAAGTCCTTAAAGGAGTTATACACAGATCGTACATTGTACCCCTCTGTATTCCAAAGCATTTTTTTTTGTTTTTGAACATGAAGCATTGCACAACCCTAATATTTTTGCCATAATGGAATATGACAGAATATTTTAATTTTCCATATTGAATTACAATACTTTCTTCACTTACTGTGATATTTTAGTGGAGTATATTTTGCATATTGTCTATTTCTTCATGGGGTGTTTATATACATACATACATACATACATACATACATACATACCGTACATACATACATACATACATACATACATATATATTTCAAATTAATGTTTAATATCATGACAGTAGAATAAGAGTTCTCAGTCTTGGTCATTGTGTTTTTCCCGGCTGGGAATCAATTGCCCATCCATTCCCAAATATAAAACAAATAGTTTCAGATTTGCAATACTGGTCATAGGGCAGTAGAAATGGGCTGGTGCTTCTAATCACTCCCAATAGCCCAGAGGAACATATATTTTCAGAGAGATAGAGAGGAACCCTATGAACTCCTTGCATTTGAGTAGTATTACATTATTGAAAATTAATAGCTTTTAAAAATGTACTTTTCAAACTTGGCAAAACAAATGCACATTAATTAGCATAGAGATACTGCAAATGGTCCAAAACCTCCTGATAGAGGAAAGTATAAAAACTGCTGCCTTCTTTTTATTCCCAAGATTCATTAAAAGGGAGATAGCTTCTGTTAGACACTGGTGATATTTCATTGTATGTAATAATACTGGTATTTTTAAAAATCTTTTTACTGACAGCTTCTTTTGATGGGGAGAAACATACCATCAATCTTCCTTCTGTGAATAGTGCATCTTTTGTTCTGCGCTTCTTGGAGAAACTCTGCCACAGCCTACAGTGTGATAATCTTTTCAGTAGCCAGCCCTTTAGTCCTTACATGAGAAATGCACATAGTCCCATTGAACATGATACAAACAAGCCAGGTAATGTTCTGATTTCTTTAGTTCTCCTCCTTGTTGTAGCTCTTGTGTATTTTAGCATTGATGGCTTGTGTTTAGAATAAAAAAAAAGCAATTTAAAATAGTCTAATAATTCCTTTGAATCATAGTGCACAGTGATATAGTAAGAATTTAAAAAAATAGATAGTTTTACTTTTTTCCACATGTGTGTAATTACAAGTTCTAAAGTTTTAAAGTATACTTTGACTTACAGGACATGCTTATGTAATTTTTTGGCAACAATTCAGAAACTTTTTTCAGGGACTTCTATTTCCCAGTGTATTCTGCAGACATGGCGTTTAGTAGACTGATGTCCAAATACCAAGGAGGATTGACCCTACTTAGCTTCTGAGCCCCAAAAAAGGTCAGCCATTGTTGCCATTCACTGCAGAATTAAAAGTAAGGTATACTGAAAATCACTGTATTAGGACTAGAAAACAATCCATATTCAAAGAGGAAAGTGGGGTTAAGAATATGCATGTTATAGCTACTAGCACATTCTTAAATCAAATATGCTTTCCTTGGAAAAATGCAGTTTCCTTAAAAAGTTGCTGACAGTTGTTGTGTGAGTTACCATATACATACAGAAATACTTTTTCTACATTGGATAGCATTATTATGGATATGCAACTGCTATGGTAAGAAAATAGTATGATAAATTCTTTAATTTACTGTTGCTTGTTGAAATCTATAAATCTGAAATATCTTTATGTGTTTAAATGCTCAGCTTACTCAGTCCTGATTTTACATTGCTTGCTTGCTTATAGTCAGTCATGACAGGTGCAATGCTGGCTTTTAGCCTTACTGTATATTCCATGACCAAATAGCCACTAGCATTATAGCCATCTACCAAGGATTTAGTTTATTTCAATGGATATAATCAAAATTAGGACAGTCAAAGACTTACCACCTGCTTTATAGAAAGATCTAGCAGCTTGGAAACTGACTTGCCTTGTCCTAGGGAAGGAGTCTTATCTCGTTTCTTTTAAAAATCAATGGTGAATTTAAAAAAAACTAGAACTTTCATTATCCAACATTAAGTGGAAAAACACCCTAAAGGTGGTTTTAGCATGGAATAATATTTGCATGGAATTTAGTGAAGAAATTAGTGCATCTATTCCCAACTTTTATACTTTACAAATTTGGTTATTAGGGTCCATAATCTTTTTATTCTTCACCAAAATGGAACAAAAGGACAGATAAACTATAGTGCAGAGGATTTCTATGTCTTCTGAGCATAGCACATACTTTTTCACAGCTTTTCCATTGCATTCCCAGCAATCCTTTGCCAGTTCACTTTGACTGAGATGCCAGCCTTGTGTGAAAATAGGAGAAATTCAGAAAGAAATCTGTTCACAGTAATGGGTTACTGAGCATATCACTAAGCATAAAGAAAACAACTATTATATCTCTATTATTCATCACCCAAGAAGTGGCAAAATTACACAGAAGAACTATACAAGAACAAGTTTAGTGTCTCTGATAACCACGATGGGGTGGTCACTGACCTCGAGCCAGACATCCTAGAATGTGAAGTGAAATGGGCTTTAGGAAAGCTGAGCAACAACAAAGCTAGTGGAGGTGACAATATTCCAGCTGAGCTATTCAAAATCTTAAAAGACGATGCAGTAAAAGTGCTACACTCAATAGGCCAGCAAATTTGGAAAACTCAACAGTGGCCACAGGATTGGAAAAAGTCAGTTTATATTCCAATTCCAAAGAAAGGCAATGCCAAAGAATGTTCAAACTATCGCACCATTGCACTCATTTCACATGCAAGTAAAGTTATGCTTAAAATCCTACAAGCTAGACTCCAGAAGTATGTGGATCGAGAACTTACAGAAGTACAGGGAAGATTTCAAAGAGGCAGAGGAACTAGAGATCAAATTGCCAACATACGCTGGATCATGGAGAAAGCTAGAGAGTTCCAGAAAAGCATCTACTTTATTGACTATGCTAAAGCCTTTGATTGTGTGGATCACAACAAATTGTGGCAAGTTCTTAAAGAGATGGGAGTACCAGACCATCTTATTTGTCTCTTGAGAAACCTATGTGCGGGTCAAGAAGCAACAGTGAGAACTGGACACGGAACCACTGATTGGTTCAAAATTGGGAAAGGAATCCGACAAGGCTGTATTCTGTCACCCTGCCTATTTAACTTACATGCAGAGCACATCATGAGAAAGGCAGGGCTAGATGAATCAAAAGTTGGAATTAAGATTGCCGGGAGAAATATCAACAACCTAAGATATGCAGATGATACTACTCTAATGGCAGAAAATGAAGAGGAACTAAAGAGCCTCATGATGCGGGTGAAGAAGGAGAGTGCAAAAGTTGGCTTGAAACTCAACATTAAGAAAACCAAGATCATGGCATCCGGCCCTCTCAATTCCTGGCAAATAGATGGGGAAGAAATGGAGATAGTGACAGATTTTATCTTCCTGGGCTCCAAGATCACCACAGATGGGGACTGCAGCCAAGAAATTAAAAGACGCTCCTGGGGAGGAAAGCTATGGCAAATCTAGACAGCATACTAAAAAGCAGAGACATCACCCTGCCAACAAAAGTACATATAGTCAAGGCCATGGTTTTCCCAGTTGCAATGTATGGCTGTGAAAGCTGGATCATAAGAAAGGCTGAACGCCCAAAAATTGAGGCCTTTGAACTATGGTGCTGGAGAAGACTCCTGTGAGTCCCCTGGACTGCAAGGCGATCAAACCAGTCAGTCCTAGAAGAGATCAACCCTGACTGGTCTTTAGAAGGCCAGATCCTGAAATTGAAACTCAAGTACTTTGGCCACCTAATGAGAAGGAAGGACTCACTGGAGAAGAACCTAATGCTGGGAAAGATTGAGGGCAATAGAAGAATGGGAGGACAGAGAATGAAGTGGCTGGGCGGAATCACTGAAGCAGTAGGCGTGAGCTTAAATGGACTCCAGAAGATGGTAAGGAAGGCCTGGAGGAACATTGTCCATGGGGTCGTGATGGGTCAGACACGACTTCGCAACTAACAACAACAATTCATTACCCATCTAAGTCATAATGACAATTGCAACAATCATTCATTGAGAAAAACCAGTTACTGCTTACTAAGATACGAACAGGTGCCCAAAATGACTGTTTTACGCTTTCTTTCTATTTTTGGCATGTGGTACAACACCATGCCCTTAACAGCACATTGATCTTTTGAATATTATATAGGGTTCTAAAAGTCAGATCTCATAGACACTTTATTTTATAAACTGTGTTAACATTATATTTACTTCTAAATACATTCTTACTTCTTTCATGCATGACTTTTAAACATTCCTAAGCACAGTAATATTTTCTCTGAAAAAAATATTGTGATTGGCCTATGGGGTCTGTCTTTTGGTATCGCTGTATATTAGAATTCTGATTCAGAAACTGGATGAATTAGTTATGTCCTGTTTCAGGAGAATTAAAAACCACCTGACTTACAGCATTTGGATCAGGATTCAAGCTGAGCTGGACTACAGCCTTAAGTATAATGTCAAATGTTTGGATTGCAGACAAATTACAGTTAACTTTAAATATATTAGGATTTCTATTAGAATTGAAAAGAAACAAGTCTAATGTATGCTAAGTATAATTAAACCTATCTTAATTCCACATACTGTACATAAAAAGCAGAAAAGACATTCTTTCAAAACAATATTTGGGGTCTTCACATTTTGGACAAAGAAATACTACCCTTATATTTTTGAAATTGATTGAATGCTGTCATGAACCTGAAGCTTTAATTATAGCTGTATTTTACCTTTAAATTATGGAGAGGGATTTTTATTATAGTCATCAAAAAGAATCCAGATAATCCTTTTCATTCAGTGCTGAAGTTAAGTCCCAACCACCCTTTCAACAACTTTCTACAGAAATAGTAAATTGAAGGCTGGACAAAAGTTGTCTTAATACTGCTGGATCTAAGAGGGCACACCACTGCCCCCAATGCAACTACTACCACCACCTCCTATAAAGAGGCATTAACTGCCATGGAGCAAGCCACATGCTACCTCCTGGGAGGCCTTAACTAACCAGGAGAAGCATGGGTCCAGATGGCCAAACTCACAACTATGAGGGAGGACCCTTAAGATCAACCAGATCAAACTTCTCCCAGATAACAGGGCTCAGACATGTCTCTTATTGAATGTTAATATTATGATGTATTTTGTACAATGTACATTGTATAACATTAATTTAGAGCTATATTTAACTTTTTTTCATCACCACTTTTTTTCTGTAACCATAATAGAATGCACAAAACTGTTCTTCCTCAATGGCTGGATGCAAAAGCTTGTTCACTCTGAGGACTACAACTGACCTTTGAGTAGGATTCAAGTTAATAGGTCATACCAAGACAGAAATACAGCTTCTTTCTACTTATTTTATTAACATTGAAAATTGTAATTGAATGGGGATTTTCGGTTTGCTGCCACTGCCGCTGCGGACACTTGGAAGGCGACTCCGTCTTCCATGTCTGATTTTCTTTTGCTGGGGGACCCTGGAAAGGGTCGAAAGTCGCCCTGTAGAGGCGATGAGCAAGAGGGGACCCCCCACCTGATCGTGGGAAGGCAGCAGCCCTCCTGCTTGATCCGGGGCAGCCCTCCAAACTGATGGAGAAAAGACCAGCCATAGCAATATGGCTCATCGTTAGGCTGCAGACAACTGAAGTCAAATCTACTAGTAAGCACTCTGAAAGCAACGTGGATGAAACTGGGTGAGATTTGAACTTCTCTTTGCCCAAAGTACCTTCTTTTCCTGTAAAGGCTGTTTGAAGTATCTTCCCCCAGAGGAGAGAGGGAAAGGAATTTCTGTCCCCCTCTAAGAATAGCGGCATCTGACTACCCAGGGGAATCAAAGCATTAAAAAGAACAACTTTAATCTAATTGGATTTATATGTTTTTGAAACTTGGGGACTAAAACTTTTCCTATTTCTATTGGAGACTTTTGTTTTTACTCACAAAAAAGAAA